ATACCTGTGTGAATAAAAAAGTGTCAGCCATCCAGCTTGATGCTTATATTATGTCACAATACCATCATGCTTTGTAAAAAGACTATAGATGAGAAAACTCTTGCATTTTCTTTTTAGATTTTACAGAGTGGTATATAGTTTGAACTGTGAAAATTTGGGGCATGTCTTTATAGGTATTGAGTTATGAAAGAAAGAAGTAAAACAATTTGTTTCTTCTGCATTTATGAGGAAAAAATGTAATTTTGGAACATGCAGTTTATAACTTTTAATGCATATACCACCCTAAGACATCATGAGAATTAGTTAGAGGACACCAGCATCGTAACAGAAAGGGAATATCTCCAAGCTACAGTATGGAGCTCAAGTTTTTATCTTCTTTGGAGGTCTTGCATGTAGAGTAAACACAAGTAATCTCTAGAATATGCATTGTTTATTCCAGAAGAGCCACTTGGTTCCATTATGTCATTGCTTGCAAGAAGAAAAAGGAAAACTAAAATCTATCATCTTGACCTGTGCAAGTTTAATRGCTGTGGAGTTCAACAGCATTAGCTCAGCACCCACAGGGGCCAGGACCTGGTGGCAGCAAAYTGGGGAATTTGTCAGCAGGCCCCGTGTGTCAGCGGTGAGGAAGGCAAGCGTGGTCTGCGTGTGAGCGGCAGGAGAGGTCACACTGCCGTGCCTGGGGACAGAGGCTGAGAGTGCCACATGTGTGAGGCCACTCCTGTGGGGATGGGGCTGACCAAAACCTTCCAGATCCTCTGGGAATGAGCCACGTGCTGAGCATCAGTGCTCTGATTCAGCTCCCTCCTGCTTGGAGCGTAGCCACACCTACCTACAAATGAAAGCAGTCTAGGACACATCTGTCCAGGCTCTGGTGAGCTGCAAGGTGGCATCACTGTCATTGGGAGCCAAGAATGAGGTGCCATGGGGGTAAAGAGCTTCTGGGGGTGGTGGCTGGGCTGAGACACAACACTGACTCGGAGAATTACATCACTATAATGCACATGGGGTACTCTGAGGATAGCCAAAAACAGACATACAGGGCAGCAACAACAGGGAAGCACTGTGCCCTTCAGTGGGGTGAACATGGTTTGTGACCTTCCCTGAGAAAGAACATGGCCCGTGTCTTCCAGCCCATGGGCAATTCATGATGACTGCTCCAAGGAAAGAAGCAAGCAGGATGTGTCTCTGCTTCTAAGACACTGTGGGGGAATCTTTTTGGGAGCTCTCCTGAKCCCCTGGTCATCTGTTTTCTGCTACTTCAGACAGGATAACTGATCCAACTGAGCATTAAGGTTAGCAGGTCAAAACTGAGGAGCATGTTCTGGGGACAGGGATAATTCAGGTAAGGTTTTCATCACCCAAGACACACAGATCCATCAGAAAGCAGGAGAACAGGGCTGCACAAATGCTGTAGTTTCACTCACTCTGGCCATCAAGCATTAGTACTGTGAGCTACTGGATACCTCTGCCTTCTWTTTTTTGCACATAACTTGCTACACACTCAGTGCCATGCTTTGGTCCTATCCCAACACAGGCCTGCATGGTTTACCTCTCCCCCTTATGCCCTTTACCATGATGCCTCCTGTTTTGGATGATTTCTCACAAAATTGTGTTCATCTGCTTTTCTTGGTTTGTGCTTTTTTGTCTAGGTACCTTTTCCCCAACACAATGTTCACACCATTGTATAAAGACAAATTACCTCAATGTGAACTGGTGTGTAAACAGAAGAAAAGGSAAAGCTACCAAAAGAAAGTGAGAGATGTCAAAGGAAGGTTTGAARAACACCTTTAATGGGAGGAATATGGGGTCCTTTAACGCTTAATATGCTCTCAAGATTATGAGAACTACAGAGATTGAGCTGAATAATTTGAAAAAGAACTGTTTGCATAGAAGGGTAAAATGTTTCTGAAGAAATTGTCAGAAAAACAGAAATATCAGGAAAAAAAGTGAAATGTTGGGCATGTATGTACTTATTTTGAAGTGCAGGGTACAAGAGATAGCAATGATGTAAGTATCTGGTTATTATAACATCATGARAATATACACAGTCCTTGTAAAGGAAAAGAAGGAAAAGTAAAGAAGTTACAGTGGACCTGAAAAAATCAGATTTCYATAAAATAATATTATTGAAAAGAAGAATTTCATAGGAAACAAAGCAAAGAAAAACATTAGCAGGAATGACCAGGTGTCTCCATAAATGGAGTGAATGAAGRGCACATGTCCCGATGAAAAAATGGTACTAGAAAGGTTAGTAAGATTAAACTGAATCTGAGCTAATCTTTGCTAAATCAGAACTCGTTGGTGTTCTCAGTCTCATATAAAAGCTCAGGCAATCACGTTACTTCACTAAGTTGAATATATAGAATATGCAAATACAGACAAAATAATAATTATGTCAGTGCAATACCAATGCAATAAAAATAACATGAAAATAGATCATAAGTGCATTAGTACATTGTTTGGGAGATACTTTTGGCAGGAACCTTYCCTCAGCAGCATTGTAAATTCTCACCTGGGAGAACATGGGGGCACAGGTCAGCAAAGGTRGATTGACTGAGCAGTGTACAGAGGGAATCCATGTGAAAGAGCAGATGTCTGAAAGTACCACAGTGGATCAGCCATGGAAACTAAGAATGGTCATTATCTGCATTTTTTACAATCAGGGAGGTTGCAGGTACAGGTGATTCTGCCTCATAAGAAGTGAAGGAACTTTGTCAATCAAAATTTGAGTTTCTTTTAAGCATAACTTTTCTATACTTCTTTTTCCTCCAGTGGTACTAGCTCATTTTGACACACATTAATTATATTGTGAAATTATCATACTCCAATAGATCCATAAAAGAAATATTTTCTAAACAAACAGAAAGGGAAAGAAGCTCATGTCAGGCAGGTCCAACTAGTCTGAGAAGTGGAAGGGGTACATGGAGAGATATCAGCTCAACTGAAACCAGGAGTAAAGGTAAAAAGACAGAAAGAAAAAATTAAAAAGGAGCGAGGGAGAAATGACAAAGCTGATAAATGGGAAGGGTGAAAAGGATGTGACTAATGATATGAGAAGAGTTGTTTCTGGAAAAACTGACTCGTTGGACAATGATTCACACAATAAACACCTGGACGTTTGCCTTTTCTCGTCAGATTTACTCAGAGAAACAGCTGCCTCAAGGACCCAGTCTCACTGCTGAGTTTCTTCTTGTGATTTTATCTGTGGCACCATGTTATGACTGTTGTAAAGCTTTAAGTGCTTCTGGACTTTGTAATGCATTTGACATGGGAGACTTTTTTTTTCTCCTCTGTGGTTGCAACCTGTAAGTAGTTGCTCTGGGCCTGGGAAACTCTTTCAGCCAGAGAGAGATATTGTGTGAGAGTAGACTGCCCTCTGACTTTAAATAATATGGGCATTCAATTAAGTGTATTAGGTGCCTTACGTTCGTGTATTTGTACTTCAAGTATAGACTGCACTTCCTAGAAATTGAACTTCTGAGCAGAGACACCAGCACTTGAACGACAAATGCTTGACTTGTTTATATGGATCTGACTTCTGACATCATGACTTGAGCTATTCTGCACTTGTCATGTGAAGGAGGACTAAAARTGGCATTAGGAATTTGTGAATTCGGTTCTGCTGCATGAAGTCTTGCTGTATTAAAATTACCACTTCATGGTGAAAGTACTGCTCATTCATGTCCAACTAGTATTCAGTTAATCTGCTGTAGGTCACTTAAAATCAACATATTTYCAAGAAAGTTATTTTCCCTCTACTTATTATATTTATTTTGAAATCACCAATGAGTTTTAATGCTTTATTCAAAACCRGTTTTGAGCCCTGCTCTAAAGATTACTCACTGCTAGCAGGCAGCTTTGAGAAAGTCTGAATCATTCTGAGTTCATGAGCAAATGAAGAACAGTTGTGTTTTAAAGCATGCTGAAAGCATAGCCTAGAGGCTTTTTCCTGGAGAAACACACACTGATTTCGAGGGAAAAGTGTGATCTGAAACACAAACAGAAGGCCTAACTTTTCCCAGRGCTGTACACCTTCAAGCTGCAATCAATTCTAAACACTTTTCTTTAGATACATAATTCAGAAATAATGTGCTGCACAAATAATTTAACACGGTTCAAAAGCAATCTGACAGACTGAGGAAACTGAAAGCAGAAGTTACAACCTGGATGAGAAGTAACATTTCTCAAGACAACAAAATAAGCCTGTCCAAAACTTCTGAAATAAGCACGATATTAAAAAGTGAGATACAGAAAGCATAACACTTTAAGGACTGTAATTAAAAAAAAAAAATCTAAATATATTTTCTCTTTTATTTGTTTTACCGTTGTCCTTTACTGCCCAATTGCTTTCAGTTCCCTTTACTGCAGGTGTCATAATRCRGCCACTGGTGGGGACTAGCTCCCTYGAAATGCTGCAAATRTAAAGASACATGAAAGATGGCACRCAAGGGAAAGRAATGATTGTATCCATTACGAGATAAGTATCTGGAAAAAGGCAGACAGTGATTTGCCTAAAGTTACCTGAAGTAAATTTTTAGCAGAGCTCAGACAAAATCTGACCTTTCCAAGTTGAGGACTGATGAATTATTTCATAACTAGGCTAGGTCCTTCTTATGAAAGGTTCTCCCGTGAAAACAAACCACCTTTRTGTCCGAAATCTTGTCTTCACAATGTGAATTTTTCCTGCGACTAGGCAAGTAGCAAACATGCTCTCCACCCAAGGCCCATTCCCCCTTCTCTCCACCTGCAGTCTTTACCCTGTGGCTCCAACCCATGCCCTGCATGTTTGTTTCTCACWGCCCAACTGAAAAAAAATTAATTCAGAAAGAAAATCACAAAGGGCGTAAAAGTATTGAAGAGTGTAAATTGCCTTGGAGCCACACTGCTTCCTTACAGGGCTGCTTTTTCATACCACACCTAGTCATTAGAATCAATAATTGTCCATGCAGTTAATGTTTGAGCTGCTGAATCTCTGAGGGCAAGTCTGAGGAACTATAAACTGGATAAGCACAGACATCACCAACCTGTGCAAAGGTGATTCCCACAGCTGAAAGAAAGAAGCATTTTTTGAGCAAAAGGAGCTTTTCATGTTACAGGTAAGAGATGATCTAACTGACATTTCATGGAAAGATTTTAAAAGCCAAAGAAAGGGTTTTGCTTAAGGATTTTCAGAYGGTGTTAGGAACTCAGCTGTCCCTGTAAAATGGATGACTGCTGTGCTAAGGCTTAGTCTGGTTTGTATTCGATTTGGATCAATTTCCTCTGTTTTCTCTTTGCTGAATATGAACATCTGAAATCAATCAACTAAAGAAATTTTTTTTTTTTCCTTGGAACCAAATACTTGTGATTGTTACTGATCTTTAACCTCCGGRAATATTCTTTGTTCTCTGAATGTTTATTTTTGAAAGTCGCTGGAATATTTGTATGATGGTTATCCTAGAGATTTCTCTTCAGTCATGGGAACCGTGAGGGATTATTAKGGATATAGCACTGAGATGGAGCTAAGAAATGAAGGAGAAAATATGGCTCCGGTCCTCAGCCAAATCTCAAGCTGCTTTAAGTTAAGCTGACGCTATTTTAATCCTGAAACTGCCTATTGCTGAAAACTTTTGTGTGAATCCAAATGTGCTGGGACTCTTTTTTGGGTGACAGAGGAGTGTGGATTTTGGGGCTTTGGTCCTTAGCAGTGAGACACTTCATGAGACTTGGTAGCAGTTTCCAGCCAGAAATTGGTGTTGAGGACTGATCAAGACTTGCGACAGACACCATGAATGGCAGGACATAAGGAAATGATATTTTTGTTSAAAGAGAAGTGAACATCAAAGGCACTTGTCATGCAAACTGTGAAATGGCTGCATTTCCACTGCTGCATTTGGTAGTCAGATTTGGACAGGAGAACCTGGCYGTGACACAGCCACTTTAAGAAATTAATGTTCTCATATTTTCTGTACCCTAAAATAAGGCTGGATGTGTCCCTTCCTGAAACTTTCTCCTCTCCACAGCAGGTCTTGCTGTTTCTCTTTACTCTGAATCCAGATCATGGTACCCCAGACCACTCCATCCTGATTTTCCTCACTTTTTCATGGCCTCCCCCAGTATTTTCAGCTCCCTGGTGTTCCTCCACCKCTGGCTGGCAAAGGGGCTCCTCCAGCTGTGCCTCCTCCAAACGGGCAGACAAAGCCCTGCAAGGAGTCCCTGGGCACAAACTGCAGCCTTACAGGATGGAAAGGGCACACCTTGGGTCCTCTGTCCCACCTGCCACYCAAAATTAATAAGGAATGAGTTTTTTTAACTTCTCACCTGGCTATTAAGTGGAGCTGAAACTGGTCAACGTATTCAGAAGAGAGCAGCAAGAGGGGAGGGGAAAGGCTGTTGTACAGTCAGAGGAATGGAAAGAATTTTCATTGACTGTCTAACCGGAATATCAGCAACAGTTTTGGTTCAAAGTGTCCTTCCAGGAGGTTCAAAGCGTCTTCTCCTTCTCTCTGCCCGGCCTGTGCCACCTCCTCTGGCTTCAGGAGGGCTATGAAGGACCTGCTTAGGAGGCATCACTGCCAAGCTGCTACAAGGGGTCTCAATTTTGGCCTTTGTCTCCTGACAAATGTAATGATTTTCCTGATYACTGCTGGTTTCCAAAGTGTCACAAGATTTTCTTCCAGTACCCCACAGTTAGCTCCAGCCCAAGGAAAGAAGAGCCCAGTAATTTCAAAAGGTGTAATTGCACACACAGTATAACCCAGATCAGAATGGGATTTATAAGAAAAAGTCCCGTGGCGTGTCCCAGCGTGAGTGCTGGAGAGAACATCAGAGTGGGGAGCAATTTCTATGTTTGCAGGTCCCCTTTTTGTACAGCCACTGAGGAAAGAAAAGGAGGGGRGAAAATGGTGTGATGGGAAGCACAAGCAGGAAGGCATCTGGAGAGAGCTGTGCCTCCACACTGTGTCCCTGTCCTTGGGGGTTTCCATGGGAYAGAGCTGTCAAAGGACATCTGCAGGCATGGGCCATAGAGCATGAAACACCACTGAAGACAGCAGCACAACACGCCAGCTTCACCTCTTTCCTGAACCAGCCTCATCCTCTGTTAAAAACTAGAGGCAGTGAGGAAGTAGGATTTCATTTTGAGATGGCCACCAAGTTTTCAGGAGGATGTAACACAAGTTGTGGAAGAGTGTGCTCAGCATTTCTTTGAAATTYGAGGCAGACACTGCTCCTTGGACTTGGAAATTTTGTCCATGYTGCTCTAGGGGGTGCAGACCCCTCAGGCTCCCTTTGCCTCTGCAAGGAAATCTGCAGCACACTGTTGGGTTTTTTTTGGAACCAGAAGATAGAGAACTCAGGATGGCCCCGACAAAACTTCAGTGTTGTGGTTGTAGTGTTTCCTGTGAGCGTCTCATTGCTTTCGCYGAAGCAGAAATGAAAGTGGGTTTGCGTGACAGAACCATTGTAACAATGTGGTTGCACAGCTTGAATTTTTGTGCAGGGTTCAATCTCTGACGACTCTCTGGGGATCTCACATGTTTCATCTCTTGACCCATTAGGCACAGACCCGATGGGCACAGCCTGCCTTGGCAGCCCAGGGGCACCAGCGGTGTCACCTCCCATGGGCAGTGCTGCACCTGCTCCTTAGGGGCTCACGGCTCAGCTCTCTCCCTGAAACACCTGCTCTTTTGGGGCTCACTGCTCAGCTCTTTCCTTGTTGCACCTGCTCTTTTGGGTCTCGGCTCTCTCCCTGCAGCTTCATGAAAACTCAGCACTTGCCTTAGTTTGCAAACAGACTGGGCTGACTCCACGGGGTTAAAGTGACTGTCATCTCTTTGCAGGAGCTGAAGCCAAGCCTTTTCCAGTATGCTGAAGATATGTGGACTTCAATTTCTGCTTGCCATTCACTCGGTGAGTTACAGGCTTTCCTTTGTTTATCTGGGAGCAAACGGCAAAGGTTGCCTGCTSTGAGCTCTAATCCGTGGGGTGTGCCAACCTGCAGGTCAGGCTGGCAGCAGAGAGGCTGTAACTGGGTGTGGGAGTGTGGCCCTGGCACAATCATGTGACCCCACAGCAAGTTAAGAAGACATCTCAATCATTAGGGGAAAAAGACTTTTAAAAGCCTAGAAGGCACTAATTTCTTTATTTTGCGTCTTCTATTTCCTCTTTAGATATCACTGTTTCCAATACATGAATTTCATTATAGGAAATACTTTAAAATACTGCAACAAATTACCAAATAGTGGAGACATCAGTATCATGTGTTCTGCATTATAATCCATACATACGTTGACATGTTAAATTCTAACTCATGTATTCTAAGACATGGCTTATAGTTTAAACTGTGCATATTAATTTTGTATCCTCATAATTTGTTATATGTRAATCCCTTAACAGATGATTTTCTGGAACTGAAATGTATTAATTATGCTCTTTATGGACATTATGTATTAAATGAAATAGATTTACTGATGTTCGCAAAGGCTRCAGCAGTGGTGACTTCTACTTCACAATTGAAATTAACAGAAGAGATTTTAAAAAATGAGTCAAATTCAAATTCAGTAAAAAACGCCTCGGAATATGGAGGGGTGCCACAGTGAGCACTTCCTTCTTCCTTCCCACTTCACAAATTGCTGCTCTGGCAGTGCTGGCCCCCCATGAAATCACAGTGCAGGCATTATAGCCCTCTTCAGAAGAGATGTCACCAGATATAGACCAAAAGGTAAAGCTTCCTTCCCCCTCCTGAGTAGTGATTCATGCTGTAGAAATATGTCTGGAAATATCTATGGTCTGCATAAAGTAATTTTAATTGCAAGAAATGGTATCACTTACTTGCTTCATGGGCTGTACTTTGAACTCTTTGTGTTTTATAGCATCAGCCTTTGTTCCTCCACAGCAGGGAACATGATAAAGAAAATCCATCCACAAAATGGCCCCAGGGAAAACCTTCAGGAGCCAGGCTGTGTGACACGGGGACAGCAATAGCAGGTCAGATCCAGGGTCCTGATACCTGGTCCCTGGCAGAGGCCAGCAGCCAACATTTGGCAAAAATATTAAAAGGGAGCTGCAAAGTGCATTTTCCTGGATATGTGACTGTCAGATGGCATTTTTTTATATTCCTCTGCTGACACTAGTGTTCACTAGCATCCCTCCCTCTCYTTCCCCAGTTCTCACATGACTTTGTTTTTCCTGTCTTCAAAAGGAGTCACAAACCCTCATAGGTGAGGATGGCAKCTTCTCTGGCTGTTATTAAGGAGAATGTGGAATTATTGAAACACAGCTTGTGGCACACACASAGAGCAGTGCTTYAGGGTAAACTGTGCTGAACTTAGCTGTGGTTTTTCAATAGGCAGAATTGAGCTTTCCCTTGGTAATATACAGACTGTGCTTTTCYGTGAGAGATTGAATAGCTGTCCCAGCAGCAAGAGGACCAAATCAAAGGAAAAAGTCATGCAGCAGAGAACATGCACTCAACTCTGTGGGGTGATGGACACAGTGGCAGTGGTACTCTAAATCTGTAAAGCAAAATAAATTAATTTTTGTTCTGGAAGAAATTTTACCTGTGCAGCCAATAATGGAGCCCTAATTCTGRCAGGCAGCTCCTCAGTGTTGTCAAGACAGAGAGTGGAGAGAGGAAATTTGGGGGAGCTTGGTTTTGCCTTTGAAGAAGCAGGTCATTTATCTGAACCACAGAGTGAATCATCTTGTGTGCCAAGGCTGCCCTGAGAGGTTCATTTTTGCTTTTCTTTTTTTGTTTGGAAGCAAGAACAGCCCTGAAATGTTAGGGCAGGAGTGTGGAGGTCTTTGGGCAATGGGGTGTGTGTGGTTATAAAACTAATAAAAATTTGGCAGAAAAACCCACGATGTTAAGACACTGCCAGCCATTAGGAAGAAAACAGTCTGAGACAGATTTGTATGACATTTTTACCATCAGGTAAAMGCCAAAGATCAGAAGGACATGTTTGTTCTCTCTGTGGTTTACACTCACACGCAATTGATGTGAAGGCACAGGGCTCAGGTGGTGGCACTGAGGGTGGTAATGTAGGGGACCCAGGGAGGGCCACCTCATTCCCATACCAAAAAGAGTTGAATTTACTGAGGAAATTACAAAGGGTGCAGCCACAATTCCTCCCCATCCCCAGGTGAGGTGCTGGGTTTCCAGACATGCTTGYTGCCACAGGACTTTGTGGCTCCCAGGTGGGATGTGGATGGTCCTGCTGGGAACACAGATGTGATCCAGCAACGATTTTATGAATTTCCTTTTGTTCTCAGTCTACATTCATCAATTTTCTTTTTCTGTTTGCTCTTGAAGATAGATCAAATCTCATTTAATTATGTAGTGGTCAGAAAAGAGCAGGGCCAATTCTTTGTTYTCAATTAATAAATCACACTGCTTTWAAAAATGTACACTAARGAACCTGGAGATGTTCAGGRCAAACCTACAAGAGTCTGCCATTATGCTGCAGCAAAACAATTTGCAGGAGGCTCGGCGATGGAGAGCTGCTGCTGGTGTGTGGTGACAGCAGACATCCCTCAGCTGCTTCCTTCATCCCTCTCTCTCTTTCTCTCTCAGGTTATGTGCCTTAATCTGGAGGGCTTGCTTGAAACTGGGCCTCTGAAGGACATGGACTTCTCTGTTCAAGAAGGAGGGGCTCCACGTGTCCTTCACAAGGTAATCAAGTGTCTCTTGTTATCCACTCCCATCAAAAACCCCTCAGTCTGCTCCCAGAGACCACATAGGAGTGCTGTCCTCTGTGCTGGTGGGAAGAACAGTCCCTCAGGAGGATCTGAAATTAATTTTTAATTCCTCTCTCTGGGAATCCAAGAGCCTACATGCAAAGAGGAGGAGACAACTCCCTCTCAAACACATTTTTAGGAGGATATCCTAACACAGGGATTAATAAAATCAGCATTCCTAGAGAATGGCTTTCCATGTAACTTATGTCATCATTTTCCTCTGAGGTTTTCCTCCCAAAACCATAACCACAGAAGGACAAATCCAGCTCCCAGGCAAATGGAGGATGTGTGTCATTTTTTTCCATTCCCGTGCTCAGACAAAGCCCCATCTTAAGCAGACGTTTGCTTTGGAAACAAACAGTTGGCATTTCTTACAGCACTCAGGAAATAATGTGAAAACTCTGCTGAGGATCAGAAAAGAACAGATTTGTTTGATCAGACTCTTGGAATATCATTCTCCCAGTCAAATACACTGTTGGCAGTAGAGTTTAAAAGTCACAAAAGCATGAAAATATTTTTATTATGSTAAAAATGCTGAAAAAATGACGATATTTCCCTCCAATTTTTTTTGCCTCTGTAGTTCACACTTGAGCCACCTGCTGTGAGTTTCAGAATTTCTGGTGAAACCTCTGGAATAATTGACATTGAACCGAAGATGGGCATGCTGTATATCAATGGGTCTCTGGACTGGGAGACCAAACAAGTGCACAAGCTGCAGGTAAAAACTCAATGAAAAATAGGAACTGAGAGATATTCACGTTCATCTGTTTCTGGTAAATCTTATATTAATAGAAATCTGTTGAAATTTCAAATTCTTCATTTTGTCTATGTTTACARGCAGGTTTTTTATTTTAAACATCAAGCACTGCTGGAAGACATAGGAGGCTTTACAGTTTGGAAAGACTGAACAGGAAAATCCTCCTTAGCAGGGGAAGGTTATGCTGAGAAAACAAAAACTGTGATGCCAACATCAACCCTTTAACTCTCCTACTATGAGAGTTTTCTTGACTGGAAGTAAAATCTGGCTTCATTAATAAGTTTCTCTTGTTATCCTTGAAGTCTCATACGGTGAATTCCACATCYGGAGTGGGAAAATAAGCTATTGAAATCTATTAGAAAGCTTATAGAATACCTGGCTGACAGACTAAGATTATCTCAGGGTTAGACTTCAGGGTTAGACTTGATGATCCTTGKGGGTCACTTCCAACTTGGAATATTCTGTGACTCTGTGAAACAGCGTGAGCAAAAGACATTTAGGCAGAGAGACACAGATTTAACCTCTCTCACATAGCAGCAGAAAGCTATTTAGCAGATGTTAGACCCTAAGAGACAAAAAAATTTTGTGTGCTTGTCCTGCTATTACACCCTTTTCACRAGGCTCTTGCTGTAAACACTCTGGAGAATCGGGCAGTGGATACTCGGTTTTTGGGTCTCAGTATAGCCCTGTGCYCTTAAACTATGTCAGAAATTATATTATCTTCTTCCGAGGCACTAGCAGCTGAGAAGGAGATGACTGGGAGAGGATCAATACCTGARCAGACAAAGTACATGATGATTTATTCAGCTAGCCTTAGCTGTCTTTCTAAAGCACTTCAGGTTTCATGGTTTCATGTTCTCAGCTCTAAAGCATCCTGGGATAGGATTTAGAGAGGACAATTTTCTAGGCTCAGAGGTTAATAATGCTAAGCATGTGAATMATTTATAGACAAGAAGTGATGACAGAACTAAAAAATTGTACTTGGTTAGGCATAAATAATCACAATTTTATCTATTATGTGCAAACAAAATGAAGTGTGACAGATATAATATGTACTTGGTGCTTTCAAGTTAAAGAAKTCTGGAAAAGAAATCAAATTGTTTGAAAAAACAGTCATTAGAAACAAGAATTAATTTTTCTTTACTAACCTTTATATTAGACTATTTATCTGATTTATWTTTATAATAGCAATTAGTTAGAAATACTATATCATGTTGGGTTTTCTCTTTGTTTGTTAGAAAGTATATATTTCTCTTTAAAGAAAAATATGAATTCTGAGCAGAGMAAAAATACAAGTAGACTGCTGAAACTGGAAGTGGGAAATTTTCCTCTGAAAAGTGTCATCAGAAGCAGGAATGGGTTGTTTTGTTGCCATCATATACTGTGCCAAATTTTTGCCAGGGAGCTGCAGTGGCAAATTTGTCCTTGTTTGTGGAGCTACCCAGGGATGGCTCTCACCAGATTTGCATCACGGAAGCAATGACCTGGCATTTGACACCCTGATATTAATTTATGCCTTTTAGGTTATCTGCATGAAAATATTTCTTTGCTGTTTCTTRTTATTTCAAATCAGGTGGAAAGTGTGGATGAAAGTGGACACRTAGTGAAAGGTCCATATACTGTTACAATACATGTGGARGATATCAATGACAACCCACCAGAATTTGATCAGAAAAGGTACTTTGGAGTAGTGAGGCAGAACTCCCGTCCAGGTAATTATCATCATAATTAAATATTATAGTTAATAGWAAGCTAGGTAAATTAAGCAGGAAGGTAAAGTGGGTGCTATACTTCAATGAGCTGGAAAATGATCCATTTTCCTTCCCACAGGWCTTTACAAAATAAGGATGAAAGTCTCTATACTATAATGAAAGGGCAAAGAAGTGACCATTATGAGGTGTGAAGGGATGAGTGCAATCAGAAATATTTTATAGTACTTACTCTTTGCAAGTATTATTGAACAGGTAAACATTACTACTCTCTCCGCTGCACTGAATAAAAACCCCTTGTGCTAGGAGTTTAAAATTTAAAGGTTACCAAAGACYATACAGAAAGAGAATGCTAAGACTATGTAAGTCTATATATTCACTTTTATATCAGTGACATAAAGTGCCAGGGTAGATATGGGGTTTGTGCTTACCACGACTGATGCTTCTCAGAACATGGGCAGGACCTTTGATATTTAGAAGAGAGTCATAGATTATGGATTGCAGGAGTCATGCAAGTATCAAAGGGCRGTTTGATAATTACATCTTGGAAATGAAACAAAGGATTCATACAGCTGTTACCGCTGTGACTATGGACTCAAGAACAAACTTTYGATAAAGAATAAGCATATAAACCTTCATGGGGCCAGAAAATCMTTCTGAAACATATCACTGTATTCTTAACTTCATCAAAAACGTTTTGGATGTTGCATTGGTGCCCAAAAGKTAAAAGTTGAGTTACATTACAGYGTATTTCCATAATTTTTTCACTGTRTSATAGTTCCTTTAATTWTATCTGGGTCACAGACTGTATACTGCTTCTATCAAAGGGCTTTGGGTTAAACTGATTTGGGTAAGAACTGCAAAGTGTCCTTAAAGAGAGATATCAGAATTCTGGGTTCAGGCACTCAGCTGATTTAACTCTGTCACCTTCTTCATCAACTCATCTTCACATCTAGTGTTACTCAGAGCAGGTGGAGGGTTGACCTGTGGGACGGCACACAGCAGTAACCCCTACACATGACTTCCTGTGAGAGATGCATTTTTGAACAATGGTAGCTCCCCGCTAGCCCTCCTGGATTGAGAGCTCAGCTCAGATGGATTATGTGTTGAGGTTCAGTCTCCTCTCCTACCACTCTTTCTTCTCTAACTCAAACAGGCAAGCCCTTCATGTCTGTTCATGCCACTGACCGTGATGATCCTACAACTCCCCATGCACAGCTGTCATACAGCATTCTCCATCATTTTCCCAACCCTTATGAAGAAATGCTTTTCCAGATTGACAGTGAAACTGGAGAAATYTCACCAAGCAAGACAGGTATGTAAAAGGATTCTTGTTTGCAAAGAGCGAGCGTGAGTTCTGGGYTGTGTATAGGAACAAAACAACAACACAGGTCTGATGCTACATTCTGAATAAATGTAGTGAGTGGGACACAGTCCACTAAAGCCTGGTTTTGAGAAACTTGTGTTTTGTCCCACCAAATTAAAGGGAAGGTAGAGGAAATGGAGGTTGAGATCTAAAAGTGCACTGACAAGAGAGATCCTCTCTGGCTTTCAGGACTACACTGCTTTGTATCTTGGAATTAATTCTCTGCCTTGAAATCTAGAAACCCAAAAGCAGTAACATGAAAAATGCAGAGAAAAATTRGCTGGCCATGTGATCCCAACTAAATTGCAATTATTTAGAAACACCCATCTATTCTGCTGGGCTCAGCAAGTGCCTAGCTGGGGCGAYGGCTGTTCAGTGATGCATCTGCAGAGAATGAGACCACAGCACAGAGGCCTCATACGAGTTCATCCACAGGATGCTATGCTGCATCACTCAGAGMAGCCAGAGGAAGTGGCTTGCTGAGATTTGTCACAGTGGACCATGYAAGGAGTGAGTCTGAAGCAGATAAAGAAGCACAGTGCATGTAGGCAGATGGGGGAGGCATCTGCCTACATGCAATGGGCAATTTGGGAGGCAATGGGCAGATGAACAACCCCCGCAGCCTCTGTGTCATTTCTCTTGACTCTTTGCTCTGTCTCTAGGCTCTTATTACCTAGATCCTCAAAAGCAGAACACCTTCACACTTGTTGTCTCYGTGAGGGACATGGCAGGGATGACAGCGAATGCTTTCACAAGCAGTGTTGATGTGCACATCATTGTGATGGAGAGCCTGTGGAAAGCTCCCCCACCCATCCACATCCGGGAAAACTCAACCCAGGTTCACCCTGTCAACATCAGCAAGGTAGGGTCCTTGGCCATACTCCCTGAACTTCTCCTCGAGCCACACAATTGTTTCCTCCTGACTAATTGTGAAGGTGTCCCCCCTGCATTCAACACCAGGCTCTTTAGRAGGACTTTGACACCTTCCAGTTTTKTKTTTTTTTTTTTTTTCAATGTGGCRTCCTTTRGAAATGATTATTAGTGCAGGTCTCACAGACTTTTTGTTATTATGAAAGTTAATGGTTTGAAGGTGACTGAGATACAGTCAATACAAACACTACAGTGACTGGACTTTGCCCTTCATTTTGGGAGCAAAATTCCATTCATGGGTCCTCCAGGCTTTGAGCAAACCAAGAGTTTGGAGCTTATATTTGGGTGAGCTTCTTCCACCTGCAGAAGRGCAGGGCAGGGAGCCAGCTCTGCAACAGCCCTGCTGTGGGCAGTCTCCCACACTCAGGGTCACCTGCTGTGAGCAGTTCTGTATCATGCAGCACAACTGCTACAGCAAGATTACCTAGAAAAGACTGAAACACCCTCCTTCACATCCTGCATTCCCACAGTATTCCTCTTTTAACAGTTCAAGCACAAAATATTTTGCTGATAACTGCAGGCCAATAGCAGTGTATACATCAGTACATATTAACTAACAKGCCAACAGCCTTTCAGAAATATTTGACTTTGAAAAATGCTTTGGCACTGACAACTCCCCATGCTGTCATCCCTTGAACATGGCAGGATTCCATGGATCCTGTTCACAAGGGTAACTGGCTTGGTGCTATTCCCATTGGCCTCAGTGACAGCCCAAGGAAGTCCAGAGTGAAAACAAGTGGAAGGAAGACTGACATGCAAGGGTGCACCCATTTTGGAGTCACTTGTATATAAATTTTTTTGTTGCAGCCAATGGTGTGTTGATTCTGCCCAGGGGAAAATGAAGGTGCTGCTATAGGCAACATAAATGTTAACACTGACTCCTTCATTAATTTGACAGTCTGTGTACTTCATTTCATTTTAACTGTGCAGCACCCCAGTAAAGCTTCATCACAAGCTTTGATGAATGTAGAGTGTGCATACACCTGTGTGCAGATAGGTACCAGATACTTGTTTTCATAGAATCATAGAATCAAAAAATATTGTATTGGAAGAGACCCATTAGGATCATGGAGTCCAACTCCTGGCCCTGTGCAGGACACCCAAGAATCACCCCATGTGCCTGAGAGCATTGCCTAAATGCTGAACCCTGTCAGGCTGGCAGTGTGACTACTTCCCTGTGGAGCCTGTTCCAGTGCCCAAAGGCCCTCTGGGTGAAAAACCTTTTCCTGATATCCACCCTAAACCTCYTCCAASTGAGYTTCCTCAAGTCCTGTCACTGGCTATGAGTGTGAAGAGATGAATGCCCGCCCCTCTGCCTCCCCTCATGAGGATGTTGATGTCTCCCCTCAGCTTCCTCCAGGCTGAACAAATAAARTGTCCTCAGCTRTTCCTMCTAAGGWTTCCCCTTCAARCCCTTCAYYATCCTCGTGGCCCTCCTTTGGACACTCACTAATAGTGTAATGTCTTTCATACATTGTTGTGCCCAAACTGCACACAATACTCGAGGTGAARCCACCCCAGTGCRGAGGACAATCCCCTCCCTTGCCCAGCTGGTGATGCTGTGCCTGATGTCCCCTCAGACAYGGTTGGCCCTCCKGGCTGCCAGGACACTGCTGGCTCATGTTCAACTTGTCACCAAAGGGGACTCCCAGGTCCCTCCCCTCAGCATTGCTCTCCAGCCTCTTGTTGCCCAGCCTGGACATACAGCCAGGGTTGCTCCATCCCAGGTGCAGAATCTGGCACTTGGCTTTGTTAATCTTCATACACTCAGTGATTGCCTATCTCTGTAGTTTATTAAGGTCTTTCTGCAGGKCCTCTCTGCCCTTGAGGGAGTTGGCAGCTCGTCCCAATTTAGTAACATTTTGTTGTTCCACCTCTCTGAATTATATAAACCAAAACAACAGGCAGGAATAGACAGTGTAAGGAGATGAAAATAATTAGCATCAAGATATTCAGATACAAATAATGCTTTTTTTTTCTCATTCTCATTACTTTTCTTCATATCACAAAGCTCTATAATAAAAAGATAAGTGTTGTAGCCCATCTAGACAGATGGAGAAACTGAGGTAAAGTGGCTTCACCACACAATTCAAAGAGAAGAGGTGGATTATCAGTCTGATATCAGGTGATTATCAGTACTGACCAGCAGTACATCCCAAGATCCTGCCAACTGTTAATTTTCTGGTTTATGAAACTAACAGGAATGAGATTGTTTCTGTTTGTGGTCCAGAAATGATCCCTGTTAAATCTCGGTCTACACTTATGACTTCCTATCCTGACTTTTTTCCTTTTGGGTTTTTTTTTAGGTGCGGTCAAATGAACCAGGTGTAATTTATGGCATTTTCGAGAAAGAGAAGCTGCCCAGRCTCCCATTTTCCATCAGTGAGAATGGGGATATTTATGTGACYGAACCATTGGACAGGGAAGAAAAGGACATGGTAAGTAAACACATACAACTTCACTGATTGGAGAGATCATAGCAGGAAGCTAATTATTGGTGTGGGAGTAAATATGAGAAAGCTCAGTAGAAAGGAGGGGGAACGGGGAGAGTAAATAAAGGCTTTGTTTCTTGTCACTTTTGTTTGGAAATTATGAGATATATGTGAAAGTGCCTCCACCTAGAACACTGTAAACAGCCTTACCCTACAACTGGACTGGCAGCAGCAATCACTGCCCACAAAAYGTGCACGATGCTCAGCTTGGACCAGCCATGGCAGGGGTGTAGGAGGGGTGATTTGTGGAGTGCAGGAGATTTGGATGTATCAGATCTACTTCAGACCTCAGGGACCTCAGGTATCTCTACACACCAGAAGAAGAGTTTAACTTGGAGTTGAAACTGTAGAGTTACYTTGAAGCTACCCATCTAGGGGTCTTTTAGGCAGAAAATCCTCTGCTCCCTCTTGTTCTTGGAGGAAATTTGAGGTCAGAGATCAGACATGCTGCATRAATTCTGTCTCCATATGTGACAGATCAATTTGCAAAATGGCAAAAATGAGATATTCCTGCTTGTCCTGAATTTTTGGAAGAGTAAGGATACAGGGGAGTGGAGTATTAAGGAATTTTAAAATCTTTYGAGAGCTCAGGCCTCAGACACTAAGGGGTGATGGAAGAATTCTGATTTAAACAGAGTGAAAATACTGAACAAACTCATGAGAGGGTATTTCACATTCCCATAGCTATGTACTTRAATGCAAAATATTGTCACAGTGGGCATTCAAACCATCTAATAATGATATTCTTGTTGCAGTACACATTCTTTGTGTACTCAAAAGATAACAAGGGAGAGCTGGTGGACAAGCCTTTGCAAATTCAAGTTATTGTGGAAGACATCAATGACAATCCCCCTGTGTGCCAGCAGGCCCTCACCGTAATTGAAGTTCAAGAAAATGAAAGTGGAGGTAAGRAAAGAGCTTCTGTTAATTTATACATCTCATTCTAGTCCTGTTGCTGTTTCCAGCTGTGTGTAATGAAGCAGCTACAGATTCTGATCCCTAAGAGTAAAATGCAGCTGTCCTAGGGAAATGTTTTCCTGTGCAAATAGCCCTGCTGGTTTTCCTTCAATAATTCATGTGGAAAGGATTTCAATTACTTGAGAAGGACAGACTTCAGACACCTACTTTAAAAATGCTGTTTAATTGAGAACATAGAACTGCATTTTCCCGCAGTCACAGTCGTGGATAACTGCTTAGAGTGTGTAAAGGAAAACAACCCTCTTATTACCAATACAAGAAATACCATTCTAAAAGTGGTATGAGCCCATTTTCTCTCATCCAGCTGCTCCTCCAGCAAAACACCTTTGACTTCAATGGATCATTACCAAAATCTGTCCTAAGCCTTGACATCAGTCATTTGGTTTCAGGACTGAAGTGYTACAGGCTGTTACAGGCTTTTGGACAGCCCCAAGCCCAAAAGRGCAGGTTGGGATGCTAAAGGAAAAACTCCCAGAAGTGAAATGGTTGTGTCCATTGCAGTGTTTTCCATGCAGATTTATTTTTGTTGACCCTCTACTCTCTGCACTGGCATCCCTGCTGTCACTGTGCACTTCTGTGGAGAAACAGGATCATTGCATTACTTGTCTGACTCTGATCTTCTCTATCTGCTACAGGAAGTAACATTGGCACCGTGCTTGCTACAGACATGGATAAGGAGAACACCTTTAACTCTCGTCTGCATTTCCAAATCCAAAGTCAAGATCCTCAAGTTCCTGAAACGAATCTCTTCTTCATTCAGCAAGACACTGGGGCTTTGCACTTAGCTGGCCGTTCCTTGAACAAGCGTGATTCGCCCGTGTATTCCTTGAAGGTCCTGGTGTCAGATTCGAGTATGTAACGCCGGCTGTTGCATGTTGGGATAACTCTGTTCAYCCTGGCATCACTTGTGTGCAGTGTCCAAGGGATGTTAGGAGACAGGGAGGATTCGCTGCACAGCAGTAGCACTGAGAGCTGTCTTGCTCTGGCGTGGTACTTGCCCTGTTCTTGAAATGCAGGGAGATTAATCATGATTCATAATGCAAGCATGGAAGGAAAGCAGCTCTAGGACAGAGTGTGGCTAAATTGGGAAGCTTGTTAACAAGTACTTCAGTATGATATTTCCTTCCACAGGGGGAAAAAATGAGGAGATCGTGATTGTGGTTTTCCCCCAAAACTTTCAAAGGGACTTACTGAAAAGAAAAATAAAAGAAACTAAATACAGCTGTTCAGACAGATAATATTTTAAAACATTAAGAGAAAATTAAACTTCAAAAATAATCTTGTCCCTTATGTAAATTCCCAGGAGCCCTTTGTGGTTCACTGAATGGAAAGGAAATCAAACTCCATACCAAAGCTTAAAGCTTTGTGCTGGAGTCCCTACAGTCAGGCAAAACTTGTGTGTGAAGGAATTGGCATGTAAAGAAAGCAGTGTGACATGTCTGTAAATTAAATAGCAACATTTAGGCAGAGGATGGAAAAGCTTACAGAGAGAAAAGCTGGTAATTTGTTTTGGATGTTTAGTTGAATTCCATCCAAACAATTTTGTTTAGAATTTTCCTTAACTTTCAGCTCATGAAGGATGTTCATAAACCAATAAAATCCATGTATATATGAATAGCACATGACCAGATATATTATGCTTTTAAAATCACAACCCTCCTGGCTACAATTGCCCCTGCTCAGGTAGTGATTAAATTTACATGTATCTGAAGTTTATGTCTGGCTGTAACAAAACTGAGGGTGCTGCCTGAGGACCTGTCAAGAGGACAAGGTAGCATAAGAGCCTAGGGGTTTTGACATGGAAAAGTGATACTGAATGGCTAACACAACTCATAGCTATCACCATCCTGATGAACAGATATAGTTTTAAAAAGTGAGGGAAATTAAACAGGCTGGGACAGTGCACAAGAAATCGAGAAGATTAATGGTAAAATGGAAAGTGAGATTGTCACTAAGATATTTGAGATTAGTGCTTCTCTCAATTTAGTTCTTAGATTAGGCAATCTGGCAGTGCTCACTTTTGCTCACAGTGAACCCTTCTGGAGGAAAGTTATTTTCAGCAGAAGGACTGCCATGACGTTGTTTGTCTCTTTCCAGAATTCCAAACAATCTGTGATGTGGAAGTACATGTCATTGACATCAATGATCAAATTCCCATCTTYGAAAAATCCAATGTGAGTATTTTTAACACCATTTTGTGTGTTCCAATGACTTTTGACAAATGCTTGAGCATACCTTCAATGTCTACAGAAAGTCAATGGGATACTAGCCATTTACAGAACAAATAACAGAATAACCCACTGGTGAAAATAAAGGCAAAATATTGCTGCAAGCCTGCATAGAAGCTCCATTGAGAGAGTGAGCAGTGGGACAGACTCATAGTTAATTACGATATTGAAGGTAATTTGCTGAATGGAAAATTATGTGTACCGAAAGAAATAATTCTATTAAAGCAGTTTATTCCAGAAATGGAAGTTCTGAAAGGAAAGGTGGAAGAAAAAGCTCTAAAATTAAATAAATAGCTAAATGGTAAAAAGGCATAATCTCCAAAGTACGTTTCCAAACACAGCTTTACTGTACCCAAAACAGCCAGAAAGTGAATGGGAATCAAAAGCCCTATTAGGGTTGACTAGAAACAGTGGTCCAGTGATCCATGCCAAACACATACCTGGTTCCAGGATGGATCTGTGGGATGGGTCTCTTGCCTGTTCCTCTGGTGGAGGTGCTGGCATCTGGCAGAGATCTGCAGACATTTTGCGACTTCTGCCTGATGGCCCAAGCTTCCTGGCAGACCCTGGGGTGGGTGAAGCACCMACCCAGAGGAGTCCCAGCTCCCACCATTCCTGTGGGCCATGTTGGTGGTGGGGTCAGGAGTCCTGTCTGGCCCATCAGGCACAGGTGTCCCTCTGGGAAGCTGTTTTGGTTTTTGGCCTTTGCTGACTGTGCAGTCACATGCAGACAAGGTGCCTTCTCACCTCAAGGTCTCAGTCTAGGACCTGGTCTCAMGGTGAGGTTTCTGGGCCAGGGCACCATCACAGAGTCAACAGAGCTGGGATGATAATGTGGCAACAGCATGAAGCATTAAATATTTGACAATGAGTGGTCAGGGTGCTCACAGGGTACAGAAGAGCTGTACTGTCCCTGCTGCAAAACCAGGGACTGGTTTCAACAAAGGAGGTAAAGATTGTGACTGGTGCTGTGCTAGTGGTACTGTCACAGATCCCATCACCGGTCATAAATGTGTGGCTGAAAATCCTCCGTCCCTCCCATGGCATCTGTGGGTTAAAATACATCCATGTTTGTGGGTCACAAGCTTGCTGTTACACTGAAGTTTTTACCCACAGTTTTTACCCACAGATGGTGCTCGGTATCTCATGTTTCAATGGTATCTCTSTCTCCTCAGTATCAAGATGTGACTGTGGCAGAAGATATCCCAATAGGAACTGTGATATTAGAAATTCAAGCTACTGATGGAGATGAACCTGGAACGGGGAGCTCGTTCATCACTTACCAAGTGWTGGAAGGAGATCGCAATAACACGTTCATCATAGAGACAGACCCTGGAACAAACCGAGGCTTTGTCAAGATTAACAAGGTGAAGAGATGGATTTTATTGTTCTTCTTCAGGGTTCCTTATTTGTCACACACAGTAACTGCCCTGGCAATGATTTGTGGGGAGGGGCATTGGCTGGTGGTGGGGTGGGGACACTCTAAATGTGCTGCAGACTGCAGGAGGCTCCACTTTTGGACTCAGGCTCTGTGCCTGTGCACTGCTCACACCACCAATCTTCCTGCCTCTGCTGTGCTCTCACACCCACCACTGCCAGAAGCGCCTTCCACCAGCTCTGCTGATGGCTGCTTCTCTGGCAGAGCAGTCTCTGGCCAATGCAGCAGGTCTTTATGCACCATAAAGACAAAAATACTACWTTATTTGAGGGATTTTGCAGCAGCWTTTGTGGACAAGAGAAAGCCAGCTAATGCTTCCATGGGCTCTGCTGGTAGTGATGGGCTGTGGTGGGGCAGATTCTCCTCCCTGCAGCTGCTCTGTGCCATTAGTGCCTTTGCAAAGGGAAGTGCTGCCTTGCCTCAGCTTTTCTGAAAGGCAGCATGGACAGGCAGTTTGTTCCTGAGAGGAACATGAGCTGTGACAAAGCCAAGGTCAGCATGTGCTGCACCAGGTGATACAGCCCATATGCTGAATCCTAGGGACAGGAGCACTTTTTGCTGCATCCATGAATTTCAAYAGCAAAATTGCTCTCCCTTTGAAATTCGCCTTCTCAAAAAGGGCTTGGACTATGGGTCCTGAAAACTGTCACTCATTTTCCAAAGAATGCCATGCTGTGTGCATCCAGCTCACGTGCTGCTGCCAGAGCAAGCGCGGGCAGGGCCAGCATTTCATGGACCATCTTCAGGATCAGCCTCAGCCTCATTTTTTCCCAAGGAGGCTATTGTGAGAAACTGTGGTGGAACAATCCTTGCATGACTTTTGGCACCCRGAGGTCATTTGAGGCCTTCTCATACTGAGCTATAAATACTATTTCTGTAAACAGGATATTGTTATTAAAMTGATTCGGCAGGTGGCAACATTATTAGGAAATGCAGTTGCTGAGGAGGCCTCTCAACAGGCATATGGTTTCATTTAAATTGACTATTCCCAGTGTCATTTTCTCCTGACAGCTCTCCCTTATTTTGCCTGTATCTGGGATGCAATCTTTCCTTTAGAAGAGTGGGCATTTGCAGCTTCTCTTTAGAGCTCCCCACAGCAGCAGGGACATGGCTTCAAGAACCTCTTTTTTTCTCATTTATCCAGGCTCTTGATTTTGAAACAATGCCTGTGTATAACCTGGTGATCAACGCCACAAATCCTGAACCTCTGGTGTCAAATGTGCAGTATAACTCAAGCTCTCTTACCTCRTTTAAAGTTGTTGTAACAAATGTGGATGAGCCACCTGTTTTCAGGAAGCCAGTTTACAAAAAAGAAGTGTCTGAAGATGTTCCTGTCAATACCYTGCTCATGACGGTGGAGGCTTTTGATCCTGAGGGGGATTCTGTACGGTAAAAAAGAGTGACTGTGATTAATTAATTGAATTTAGGGTTTCGAAAATTGTTCTWAAGGAGGTGCAAGGAAAACATGCCCAATACTTGGTATGTGGGGAAAAGCTTTTTTACAGAAATCTTATCTCCCAGTAGAAGGTGGAGGTGTTGTGGGGTGGTGGCCTRTGACCCACCACTGCTGGGCAGGGCTTTTCTGACCAGATTCTCTCTGTGCTGTGACAAAYATCAGCCTTGAAACAGGAAACCACAAGGGAAGAAGGTTAATTTATATCTCCAGGAACAAGGTAGCATTGGTCTGAGAATAACAGGGTTTCCATAACCATAATGCCTTTAACACATAAATGAAGCACATTCTATGTGCCCCTGAAGCAGCAGGAGTAGCTGCTTTTCATGTCACGCAGGAAACCACACACAGCTTTTTCTCCAGCAAAATACACAGCCTCACATCTACAATTGAAAATTCTTTTTCTTTCCTAGCTGTCAGAGATTACAGGCCTCTTTCTATTGTGGATGCAAAGCTCTGTGCAAAACAACTCCTGTRCTGTGTTGCATGGTGTAAATGTACCTTACAAAGTAGAGTCGGATAGAATTATTTGTGACTTTTGCTGTACAATTCCCAGCTGGAATGCTGAACAGATCAACTCAAAACAAACAGTACTTGAAATTAAACTAAAATTCAGCAAAATACCAAGTGGTTAATGGAGTTGCACAACATGACTCTTAGGCCTCCTGCCGAGTCTTATTCCCAGAGGTTTCTCATCTGGCTTTCCACTTTTCCCTAACTTTTGGGAACTTATCATGTTTGGCCTTCTGTCAAACTRGTTTGAAAATGAGCCACATAGTAGAGAAGCTCTGGGGGGGTGATGACAGAGACGGATGACAGGAATTCAGATATACAWAAACCGCATTTCTGCTAAAAATAGGTTAAAGTGCATAAAATAAAAAGTATAAAAAGTAGAAGATGTACAAGCATGCTGTTTCTACTGTAAAGGGTACTGAAAGAACAAAAACATTGAATGAGAAGGTCGAGTCACGTCTACTCAAGCAAATGCCYGTGCTTTAACTGGGTCATATGTTCATGGTTAAAATTGTATAAGAAGATACCCAGATACCTTGGTGTTTTTTTTAAACAATTATATAAATGCAATTATGTGGTGATGCATAAAGCATTCTCTGTTCCAAGGCTGCCTCAAAGGTAGTTACAGGCTGCTCCAGACTGGCAGAAGATATTTACCATATTCACTTTGAGGYCCTGGCCCCCTGACATACAATATTGCACCTGGCTGCACCGGTCYCTCTGTCCCCCAGTCTTTGGCTTGTGCCCCCATCAAAACCAAGATGTGGGAGAAGTGATGGGGTAGAGATGGACATAGGGTTAGGACAAATCACAATTCTGGACCAAAACCTCAAGAAWGCCCAGATTCCCTATTTAGAAGGAAAGTGGAGTTGCAAGTACACAGAGTTGCAGTGGCATTTCTGTAGTTCTGCTCTCACTTTTATTCTGGATGATTTTGGCTTCCATTCCTCTGTCTCTCCTGGTTGACTGTAGTACTGTGGTACTGTGACTCTTTCAAGAACCTTCTCTTTGAGTGCAACTGTAATCAAGCYGCTTGCATAAAATCAACAAAGAAGTATTCGCTTTGTCAGATTTTTTTCCTGATTTGGAATAGTTTATGAGATTTCTTTTCCCCCTATTTCTTCCCAAAGATACTCCTTAGAAGGTGATGTGAGAAAATGGCTAACAATTGATTCAGCCACTGGGCAGGTGTACACTGCTTCCCGTTTGGATCGAGAGCAAGAAGAAATGTACTCAGTAGAGGTGGTTGTATCAGAGCAAAGTAAGTGATTAAACAACTACATATGCACACAGAGAAATCCCCTGTCCTTATTCTTTTATGAGGAATTATCATACCTATCCTGAGTAAACTCATGAAAAGTTGTCAATACATGAAACATGTAATCTTGGATATACATCCTGTGATGTATTGTTAGAAGTAAATATTTTTTAAGGATTTAAACTTTCTTGAAGAAAGCTTGATGCTGTAGATAATGATGATTAAAATAGCTTTCATGAAGTTGGCTGTGCTCTTATATTTGCTTGAGCCACATGACATATAGAGAAGATTAGAATTTCTTAATTGTTTTCAACATTAATATTTTCTGCTATTTTTTTCTCTATGGCTGTGAATATTTTAGTGTTTCTCCTGGGTGAGGCTAGGCCTCCTGAAAACATACCAGAAGAGTAGTTGGTAACGTTGTACAGAATTTAATTTTATTACAATYGAAATTATTACTCTATTACTCTACCAAAACTGAAACTATTACTCTACCAAATCTGAAATATATTAGAATTTATAGCTCCAGCTGTTAGAATCTTTCAATTTTGACTTGCATTTACTGTATATAGAAGAGGGGTGGGAAACTCAAGGCATTTCATGCTTAAGAGTGCTTCAAAGATCACTGGTCACTTTGGATGTGACTGCTTGCCAGATGTGATGGATGTGACCAATTTCTGGATACTGTGGTCCATCTGCTTCCTTTCCCTTGCTGGTGTTCCACAGTTAGCAAGAGCTGGTGGTGAATAAACCATGCTCATTAAAAAGTAGTGGCAGCTGCCACAAATCCCTCAGGACCTCCTGAGACCTTTTCTSTGCAACCTTCAGACACAAGAGCACCTCTCACTGCCTGCCTGAGGGCGTACCTCTGCAATAGCTGCAAATGCAACAGCCCAGAGTGTAAATCCGAGATGTGCGTGTAACTTTGCCTTCTGTTAAACTCGACAGATAATGCAGCTCAGACATCCAGAGTGTCCTTGGTTCTACACTTACTTGATGTGAATGACAACTACCCACAATTAGCAACGGATTATCCTACTTTCTTCTGCTACCCKGTCAGTGGAGGAGAGAAAACTCTCATTCAAGCTATTGATGCTGATGAACAGCTTTATTATTCAAAATTTACCTTTTCCCTTGCGGATGATATGAATGCAAGAATGAATTGGGAAATCTCAAAAGCCAATGGTAAGCAAATACAGCCATTCCTACAGTGATATGGGACTCTTTTGGTACTCTGGTAAATATGAAGAATAACAGAATTCCTTTTCACTCTTATTATTGCATTCAAGTATTCCGTGTAGAAAAAAAAATAGGTTGTTGGGAACACCAAAGTCATTTTTTGCAAGAGATGAAACCTAGTATGTTGCAAGCTATAATTTCTTGAGTATTTATGAGAGAAGAAGCGTCTAAAAATGAAATGTATGTGTGTTTAATGAATACAAATCATTGCTGAAAAAGAAATAGAGCAGTTTGCAAACTTTACATTTCTGACATTCATGAATGTGCAAAAGGAAGTCATGCCTCACAAACTGAGCRGAACTCTTTGAAKCAACAGTAAACACATGAATGAGTGYTGCAYTGACAGAGCCTGTCTGAATTAATATAATATGTTTGATGAACTSTCCCACWGGAGAAAGCTGGATTGCCACAATGTTAAAGTTATGAAAGAATAAATAATAATTTTAAATTCAGGTATGAATGTTGAACTGAATTTCTTTCTTTGTGCTGACATGAATTTTCCATTTCCTACTTRCAGCTACCCATGCTTACCTCTCCCCAAAACATGGTAACTTTGAAGAGAAGGAGTATAACGTTCCAGTARTACTTAATGACAATGGAAATCCACCTTTGGAAAACAAAGTGAATCTTAAAGGTATTCTATGCACTGAACTATTACTTTCAAGACAGCAGCTACATTCATAAATAACCAAATGTGACWACTAAACATTTCATTAACCTCATGGTATTTCTTTTTGCAGTAAGCATCTGCAAGTGTTCCAGTGAAAATTCATGTTTTATTGAAATAGATCGTGACCACTCCTGGCCAACCCCTGGGCAGGCAATTGGGATCCTAATTGGGGTCCTGCTCATCATTGGTAAGTCCGTTCTTMTTGGTTGATTTGAAGCCTCTGAGATACAATGGTGCTGCTGCATTCTGACACGAATTCACCTGTTGGGTGAAGATTTGTCATGAATGGTGCAGAGTGAGTGAAAGAGGGAAGATCCCATGATTGTGCATCATGGTGGCAGCAAACTTCAAAGTTTTCAAAGTTAAGAAAAACACCCAATGGCACAACAACTACTTATCACAGAAGAAACTGCTGAACTTGTAGCATATTGTCACTTCATTGCTACCAACTGCCCTTTGCCTGTCAGGGAGGGGATTGGAGCTTTGTCTTGGTCATTCAGAAAATAGTGAAGCTTCCTACTTACAATATTTGTATCTGYAGCTTTTAGTTATCATTTTATTTGCCTGTTTCAGTGTTGTGGGTTTACATAATTCGTATTCATTCTAACACTGATAAGGAGGTAATTAATTTATATACAGTGTAAGAATCTCATCATGATTKCAAAAGATCAAATTATACATAATATAAATAAATAAAAAATAGAGACTACATCTCAAAACAAACATGGCAAATCACTGCTCAAAGGGAGTGGGGCTAAAATAGACACTTTGCCATCTGGTCAGATCCTAGAGRAGAAATTGTCCTTTGGGGGAAGGCCTCTGAGCCCCAAGGCATCTGATCCTGCCCAGCAGTGCCTTGTGTCCATTCTCTTGGTCCATGCTGCATGGCCATTCCTCAAAGCTCTTTGCTTCTGTTCAAGAAGTRAAGCACTGAGGATATCACAGCCCAGGGCCATGGCTCCTCTTGCTGAAACCTCTTCTCAGAAAGTTTTGTCTTCCCTTTACAGACAAACACTCTCTGTTTTTCAGGTGCCATTTTAGCAGCTGTGTTTCTCCACATGAAATACAAAGAGAAAAATGGAAAGAGCCATCACAAAGATGCAAAAGATAATGCTGAACTCGACAGGCTGTCTTAGTGACTGTTTCATCAAGAGACAAAACCGCCCTTTGGGCTGTGAATGAACGTTGAAGCTTCCAAAACCCAGGTGTGTGCTATCACAAACTGAAGATAAAAACATGCAAAAGTAGATCCAGGAGTTTGGCCTCACTTTTGTACATAATACYATTCAATAACAAAATATAAAACATATGTAACCTTCAGCAGCAGCCATTAATAAGCAAATCAGTTTTGACTGAAGTGTTAACTCATGACAACACCAAATGCTGAGCTCCTTCAGGGATCTAAAGATGGAACCAGTTTTCTTCATTTGAGAMTTGAAGTAAATATGGACTTTGCAGAGAATTTGTCAACCTTCACCTATTTATTTCTTTCCAATTCAGTAAGTCACTGAATATCAGATCAGGAAATAAAGTTCTTTGCCTCATTTGAAGATACCCCATGAAGTTGTAGGAATCTCTCTGACTCTCAGCAAAGGAGGTCCCAAACTTACTGCAATCTGTAATCAGCCCTGGGTCATGCCTGCTCACATTATGCTGAATTTGCACTAGCAATKTGACATTTCAWTTTTTCATTTTTGATATCCCACAGAGTAGAAACAGTTTCTGAAGCACCATGGACTTTCATTACAGTTTCCAAGTTAAAAAACTCCAAGTTGAGCCATGTGAATTTGGGTGATGCAGTTTTATCATACTGCTGCAAATATTCCTCTTGCCTCCTACACATTAGATAAGAATAAAGAAGTTCTTTAAATGTTTTAGTGCCTGCTTATTTTATAAAATAAATTAAAAAGGAGAGAGTGCRTGAGAGTAAACCATTGCTGCTTGGTTATCTATTGTATTTAACCCTTACTTTTACAGATTAAAAATGGCTCTTTGGCCAGAGTGATACCTGCCCAGCTGATTCAAGATGCAATGATTGCTGGAGGTACTTCTATCTTAGTGACAGTAAAATGTATTTGAACCCAGGGTGACACACAGAGAAAGAAAGCCTTTCTCTTGACGGCATGCCTATAGAAGGGCATTTTTGGTGACAGTTTGAGGAAGGCTYTTCTTTTAAGCTATAAATAAAAGCTGACAAATACTGTGTTAAACTGAAAAGACAATATACTTTTGAAAACATTGAAGAAAAGGTCATATGGAAAAGAATATATTTGTTTACCCAGGATTTTTTTTAATGGCTTTTGCATGCACCACAGAACTAGAAAGAAAAAAGCACTTTTTTTGGTAGMATTGCATTTATAATAGGTTTTCCTAGAATGCTGCCAGCAAAAACTTTGCTTTTGGGCTTCAGTAACACAACYCAATTGTTGTACCTCTTGCCCCAGCTTCCCCAGCTGTCGGAGCTCTATTATTTGCTGGGGGGCTCACTGCTGGAATGTATTTATTTTATGATGGGAATGCAATCCATTATATTTGGAAAGTATGACAYTCAGTTACGTCAGTGTGTCCAGGGATTAAGATTAGTATATTGTTTTATAAATAAAGGAGCCAAAGTTCAGGAGTTGTTGTACTTGTGTGTACCAACACGGCTTTATCTGAAGATGGGGAAAATGTGCAGAACTTCCACTTYGCTCTATCTCCCTGACCTGTTTCTGTTTGCTAAGTTTATTCAAGTGCATCTCYTGTTTTGAACAATTCTTTTTCTGGAGAAGGGTCAAAAAATTTCTTTCCTCATTTACCTACATTCAGGGCTGGTTTGACAGCAGGACCTTGTMCCTGTGCCCAGCCTAACATTGCCCCTGTTTCTTGTGTCTCTTGGGGTAATTCACTGCTCCCTCTCCCATCTGCCCTTTGAAAGCAGAGCTCCTCAGACAAGCAGAAAGATCCCCTTCCTCAGGGTCTTGAACACATTTTCAGTCTTCAAGACCGTCAGTCTCAGTGCATGGGGAGTCAGCCCTCCTGCAGGCATTCACTAAATGTTGTTTGCATGTGGTAGGAGAGTCTGAATGATGCTGCCTTGGGGTGCCCCTCTCTGGCAGCTGCCCTGGGGTGACATCCCATGGGGCTGAGCACTTTTGGCCTTGCTGCTGCAGTGGCTTGACAGCCCAGGGCTCTGCCTGCAGCTGAGCACAGCCAGGGCCAGCAGCACCCTGAGTGCCCTGCTCCACCTCTGCCCCGTCCCCAACCCACCTGCCCCAAGTCCCCTGCACTCAAGGGACTTGGCATGGTCCTGCTTGCAAGGGCAAACCCAAACAATGCAGCTGCTGGCTAACTTGTGCCTGGGCAACMCTGCTCCTTCGTGTTTCTTGTGCTGTTCAAACTTAAATAAAGTTAAAAATAAAAAGTTAAGAAGAAAGAAAAAACCTCATTTCCAACCCTGATGCAAATATTTTCTTCATCCTCCTTCTGCCTGCCTGYCAGGACTTCTCCCCCAGCCCTCCAGGGTTTATTTAACCCAGTCCTGCTCTGGCTCCTTCATTGGTTCAGTCTCTTTTGGGAGCCAGACAAAAGTTCTCACCCAGCCTTAACGCTCCCYCTGCGACAGACTGGTGTCCCTGGCCTCCTTTCCAGAGGACAAATTCCATTTTCTCTGGGTGTCTGGAGAGGAAGACAAGCAATACTTATTATTATTCCTTCCCACCWTGCTTCCCACCAGCTCCAGCTGGCTCCCAAGTCCCTGTGGGAGTGGCAGACATGAGGACATTTTGCCCTTGTATGTTATACTTTTCCTCTGAGTTCAGGAATGAGCGCTTCTTTTTGAAGYTCCTCAAAATCTGACCAATGTCAGTCACTGGATTCTCTAAAGCTGTTTCATTGACACTTATTGATAATAACTGACAGAGTATAAATTGTGTTCTACACACATAAAAGTGTAGAGATAYAGACAGCATTGAAACAAGAATTTTGTACAGACTTCCAAAGAAAATAGCTCTCTTAAGCTGGCCACATTATTGCTTTTWAAAACATCTTAGAAATGTTGCCTTCTAGTCATTTTTTTATGCTTGAATAATAGACACTGAATACTGGCATGAGTTTCATACCTGCAGGATTCACTAGGAAGAAATGAGTAAGGTCTGCGAGCATTAAAACTAAAGCAGTGCTTTAAATACATGATACTTACAAGAAAATGGTAGAGAAGYGAAAGCTCTCCTACTTTACATCCACAAATTCTTAGAATAACTTTATACATTGATAGGAGAAGGACAAATTTTGAAAACAACATTGATGGCTCTGGACTCCAGTTTTTGCCAAGAACAATATCACACAAGAAGTCCAGTGATGAAATCTGCTGAGAATATGTCCTCTGKCTCTGCTCCTTTCCATGGCTCCTCCTCCAAGCATGCAGCATCTCATTACAAGGTTTACAGATAGAAAAAGATATTTCAGTGCTTTCTAATTCTTTTTTACAAGATTAGGGACTTATCAGGCTTTTGATTATCTCCAGGATTAATGGCACACATTAATTAAACTGTCATTATGGCTATTTTTCCACCCTTTTGTAAATATAAACTTGAAAAGTATGAGCAAGATTTTTATCTGGGTTTGTAGAACAAATGCCACAGAACAGCAGCTTTTGGCGGGGGGGGAGTGTGTCCTTAATCCATGTTTTGGAGGAGGGTTCATCAGCCCTGCTCACACAATCAAATGTACAAGGCTGTATCCACCACATGCAGCTGCTGCAGTGCCTGTTAATGGGGACAAAGGTAAGGTGGCCTCTGGTGGCATGGGGATGGTGGGCAGGGCTGCGGGCYAGCAGCATGGCTGGGATGGCTGTGCCACCCGGCTGGCTGGAGCCACCAGCACTTAGTGGGGACAGATTCCCCCCAGATCTGGGGAATGAAGAGAGAAATGTGTTTTCACCCCAAAAAAGGCTCTGTAGTGAGCAGTGCTGTTGGGGTAGGCAAGCACCATGTGGAGGAGCAGAGAGGGAATTTGAGTGGGATTAGGAAGCTGCCTGATAAAGGGCAAGTGGTATTGGCTGAAAGCAGATGGATGCTTTCCAATCCCTCTGTGTGGCAGCTAATCCTAAATGCACCTCTCTAGGRCTTTGATAAGACTTTATTTTAAAATAAATAAACACATTTATTCCTAGTGTTATTTTCCACAGATTTACCAGAACTGGGAGCTGAAATTACATAATAATTGCATATATGAACTAGAGCAAGGAACAGATGTAATCCACAGAGTTACCACTGCTTCTGGACATTGATCTTGCACTCAATCTCCAAATGTGATTCCAGTGCCATTCACCCACTCAGAGTACTCCTTCCTGCCTGACTGACTTTATGTCTTGAACAGAGGACTCAGAAATTTGCAGCTTCAAYTGCCAGACAAAGCCCCAGAGCTACAAGTGAGTGCCAGAGCAAGGGACCATCCTTTCAGCTCAGAATATTCTGCGATTCTGTGGTCCTCTGTGCTCAGAAAAAGAAAGCACAACAGCCTGTGACCAAAGAGTTACAATGATATACATGAGCATCCATTAGTGCAAGAAAATACCATGGAAACATTCAGCAAGATAGACAGCATGATCCTGTTAAGGACCCTAAGCCAGGAAAAATGCTTCCAGTTTTTTGATTRCGTATTCCAAAAGAAAAACAGAAGATTAAAGGCAAACCAGCAGCAGCTCTTTGAACTTGTTGCTGGACAGCATGTTCCTCTGCTGATAGTGAAAGACTGTACAGCCCAGGGAGACAAACTGCTTGAGCTTGCTCTGTTTACAGCTTGGGGGCCAGAGATGGGTGATGGGTACAGCTGCACAAAGATATTCTGCCACAGATGAGCTCAAGGGAAAGAAGCGTCATGTGTTTGCAGCTAAAAAGATGACAACTTTTATTGCCCACTTACATCTGCTTATGACATCAGTACCAAAAGTGGGGTTAAGCAAGCACCATCTCACCATTCCTGAACCATTCCATAATGCTGAATATGGTCAAGAAATGTGTTTCCACAGCCCCCTCTTCCAGTTCACTATTCCTCAGGACTAACGTTAACACGAAAATCCTCTAGGGAGGGGTAGATCTAGCAAAGGTTTCCTGCTCTCAGAAGTGAGCACAAAGAAGCTGGAAGATGGAGACAGGGAGATCTCTCTGGTGCATTAATCCCATCACCAGGTGAAAAGAGCCTGGTCCAGCTGCTGGCTGTCAGCAGAGGCACACACCTCCTGTTGTTTCCCTACCCGCCAGAAACAGCCTCTCTGAAGATTTCACGCCCTGAGGCCTTCATTACAGAACTACATGGCTACATTTGAATTATTTGTTTTGTTTGGCAAAGCCAAAGTAACAAAACAGCTGAATCCACAAGACTTCTCCTTGTGTAAGGTTCACAGAGGGTTTATCCAACCCCTCTGTGCACCTTGTTGTCCTTGTTTCTTGCTGTCCCTTCCCAGCAAAGTGACACATCTACGCTCACTCAGCACAGAAAGGCCACTGTGGAGAAGCAGTGGAGGGCTAGTAGTACCAGAGGGATGCCAGTAAAGATTTACTGACTTGATTTACCTTAGTTATAACTCAAGAAAACTTTAGAAATAACTAATATAATAATAGTCTGCTGAGYAGAATAACAAGAGGTGGGGACTGGCCCRGCTGGTKCTGTGTTGCTTTCACACATTCAGTSTGGGCAGTGAAGGGTTACCAGTAGAGGTAAAGGTGGGAGAGCATCAGCAGGATGGAGGAAGGCAACACCAAGCAAGACATCCCAAAAACAGAGAGCAGAAGCGTACTCTGAGCCCCAGCTGAAGACCTGTGTGAGTGGACAGGACTGAAGGATATGCAGCTCCTCTGAACCATCACTGTCTTTTCTGCCTGGAAGGATGTCAGTGAACTTCAGGATGCTCATAGATCCTTCTGGAGCTGGTGGCCACAGAAGGGTTAGAGGCAGCAAAGAGCCAGGGGCTTCAGGAGCCAAGTGATTTCCAGCTGCCATTCCTCTTGAGCTCCTTTTGCTGGTGACTGCTGCTGCCAGACCTGACTGAGAAGGCGCCTGTTTTTCTTTCATTTTTGGCCAACATCTGAAAGGCTACAGATTTTTTTCTTGCCCTTTGGATAGCTCTGTTGATGTTAAGATCTACTCTTATGAAACTTTTTCCATTTCCCCAGGAAATATTTTGTGTTAATATATTCTTATCCTTTCCTTATTGATTTTATCTGCAATGACTTTTGCCAAGTCTAATTTTTGGAGCCTTACGTTTATTGTCTTAGGTCCCAGTTGTTAAGTGTTTTGCTGGGCTCCTTTTTTTTTTTTTTTCCATGATGCACAGTGCACTTCTTTCAGTGAGGCACAGCTAAGAGTGGTGTATTATTTCAGGCTGTCACTGTGGGCTAGCAGACTGAGTGACTGTGTAAGAAACAGGGCYTATTCCCACATGCTTACATCAGGGGACCTGAGGGCAAAAGAAAGCTGAATGATGCCTAATTAGTTCAAATAAGAAGGAAAAGAGAAGAGGATGCATGTGAAGCCCTAGGCTGTGACTGTGTTTGCTCATTCTTCTGGTTATGTGTGTTCAAGCATTAGTAAACCATTTTGTTCTAACAAGTCATTT